AGAATCTGGTTTGTGTCCCTAAATGTCCCTCATATAGTGCTAGCTGGACCAATAAGACAAGAGAAGGAAATTAAAGGGATACTAATTGGAAAAAAAGTCAAATTATCCATATTTGTGGATGATACGATATTATATATGAGATCCCAAAATTCCATCAAAAATCATATAAGATTTTTTTAAAAAAATTATGCTTGAGATAGGTCTTTTAGACATTTAAATGGAATATCTTGTAAACAGAAATTACTTGTTCATCTCAGGGTACAGTTTATAATCAATAGTAAAATGTGTTGCAGTAATAGAATGTGGAAAGTAGAAGAAACTGGAACAATATCATTGTAAAATTCTTATTACTATATTTAAAGTTATATAATATCAGAGGATGATTGTAATAGATTCAGTATGAATGTTGTAAGCACTGTGATAACCTTTAAGAAGTTTTAGAAAAAGCAGGCTAACTAATAAACCACTTGTAAGAGAAAATTTGAATTATGAAAAAAAGTCATTACTGAATGTGATGGCGCATGCCTTTACTCCCAACACTTGGGAGACAGAGGCATGCAGATCTGGTCTACATAGTAAGTTCCAGTCCAGCCAGAGCTGTATAATATGACCCTGTCTCAAAAGAAATAAGAAATCATCTCAACATAATAAAGACTAATCTGTCACACTAATAATAAAAGGCTGAAAGCATTTCTTCTAAGATAAGGAAAAAGACATGTCCACTTTCACAACTTCTGTCTAACATACTATTGGTAGTCTTAGCCAGAGGAATTAGGCAAAAAAAAAAAAGAAAAAGAAATTAAAAACATCTATATTGAAAAAGAGAAAATAAAATTATCTTACTTGACAGAGGAGTTAATCTTAAAAGGAAATTTTGGCTGGGCCTGGTAGCACACACCCTTAATCCCAGCACTTAGAAGACAGAGGCAGGGGGATCTCTGTGAATTCAAAGCCAGCCTGGTCTACATAATGAGTTCTAGATCAGCTGGGGTTACACAGATACCCTGTCTCAAAATAAAAGGCCCAAAAAAAAAAAAAAAAAAGAAGAAAAAGAAAAAATTTTAATTCAACCGAATCAGTAGTGTCAAATGTGTTAAATATAAAGTGTAAACACTCCCAGATGACAGATTAAAAGCAATAGATGTATAAAGAACTTTGAGAGATTGTTTAGATTAAGACTTTTTGACCTATTTGACCTATTGGCTTTTGGATTTGGAGGAAATGTTTTCTAACCCAAGCCCCAATATATTTTTAGTTATGTGCCTGTAATATTCTTCTCTTTGTAAATTTATCTTTGTGTTTGTTTCCATTTTTCAGAGTCTATAACAGAATGTGTTGTTTATATTCTGTTATAGACTCCGAAACTTTCTTTCCTTTCAAACTAAGGTGATGATCCCAACTAATGTTTGTTTCTTTGTTTTTACATATCTAACATCAATAGATTTTTAACACACACATTTGATCCCCCCCCCCCCCAGTGCTGGAGTTCAAACCCAGGGCCTCGCAAATGCTAAGAAAGCACTCTACCACTGACCCACACCCACCTGAAATTGTTTGTGCTATTAAAATACATGTTTTCATCAAGTAAAATGTTGAATTCCTTTCGGGGAAGTGTAAACCAAGTTGTGTATCTCTATGTTTATCTCTCTTATTTTATCAGTTTTCTATCATTAGTTAACAAACTACTCCATAGCTTAGTAGGTTAAAATAGTTGGTTTATTTGCTTACAAGTCTGTAAGTCAGCTTTGGGGCCTGCCATTTCTTCTGTTGGTCTCTCCTGAGGCTCCTCCTCATGTGGTTCTTGACAGTTGGTGGCTTTACTAGGGCAGGGTATTGGAAAATGGCCTCATCACATCAGTTGGCCTTGGTTGCCTTCAGAGCCACGAGTCTCTTGAAGCC